AATTAGAAAATAATGCAATGGAGTACATATTGATAGATAGCGATCATAGGACATTACAGTAAGAAGGAAGCATTCTGAACAAACGGACATCCCACGCACAAAGAACTGGGTCATGCACCTCCAAAAGAGTATTGTTACTCCTTCTCTTATTATCATGTAAAGCATGTTTGGGACAACATTTGTAATCAAGATCATATCAGTTGTAGCCAAATGAGCAAGAAAGAAATACAAAGGGGACTGTAACTGATGACTTGTTGAAACAAGGATAATTATCAGAATGTTCTCACTTAATGTTATTAAGTAAATTAGTAGGATTATATGGAAGAAAGGTATTCGGAAGGCATGTAGAATAGGAAATCCCAAGATGAGTATTTCTGTGACAAATGAGTGGTTGTCTCCATGAATTTCTGGATATTTAATTTGTAGACTATGATTTAACATTATTGTGTCTTCCATCTGTACACAGAGGTCACCAAGTACGAACACGCCTTCAATTTTAGGTTTCTGGATGTAAAATGATAGGTGTGAATAAATTGCAAATAAAGTGTTTGCTTTGTTAATGAATGAATCAATGAATTATAGATAGATAGATAGATAGATAGATCCCACCTCATGCAACAATATGCAGTTTTATTTAAATTTAATCTATAGCAACTGGACTCCTTTTGTTTCATTAGATGCACAATGCAAAATTCAGAATCGCATAGACACATATGCAAAGGAACATCAAAGTATACACGGTAATACAAATATACACTTAGTTGTTTCTTTAGTAATACAACCTAAATCTCAGACAGCAGATAGGTATATGAAAATGTCACTGAAATAGTGCTTCAGGATCGTGAAGGTGTGTATGTAAATAATGCATTGCAGCAGTTATCTTTAGATTGTAAGTTTATGGGCTCTAACTTACCAATTTGTATAAAGAGTTTCAATAGATATACCTCATCTCATAAGGGTGGGGTGCTCTTAACCTTTTATATTGGTCTGTCTATATTGTATGCTCTCCTCTAGCTGTACCATGCTGCGGAATATGTTACTGCTTTATAAATATCAGTGAACTGAAGCTATAACTACAATCAATACTTGGTTTATTGCATAATAACCTGTATTAGATGATAGGGCACCACAACAGACCTGTAGGTTTCTAATAGATATATATCCCTTAAGGAAGCCTAAAGATGTGAATGATACAATATATTTAAAATGGAAATATTTCTATTTTCAAATTGTTTATTTTATAACACTAGAGCATACTGCTATAATCTAAGTCTGGCTTGATTCCTTGCTAGGTTTAGTGGGTTATTTTTTATTTTTGCAGGAGAGGAGTCAGGGTGTGAAGATGAAAACCTGCTAACAGTTTAACTGATATGCTTTCCTGAAGAAGTGAGATTTCAAAGATTTTATGAAGGAGTGTGAATGTCTTTTGGAGAAAAGGAATGGAGTTCCACAGAAAAGGTGCAGCCCTCACGAAGTCTTGAAGGCAAAGATTTTTTTTAAATAGTAGTATTTGTTAGCATTTCTATAATCATATCATCTTCAAATGGTTTGATACACAGAACAATAGCTCAAATAAATCTGGTAATAGACAAAACAGTGATTTCTATTTTAACACAAAAATAATAGAGACCATAATAAAGAGAATAAAATGTAGCAAGAGAAAGTGAGAAGGAAATATTGAAGCAGACAAAAGGCAGAGGCTTACGCATGTGAAAAGAAGATATAAGTATGTATGTGATACCTCATTGTGCACAAACAAATGACAAGTATGAGAGCATAGAGACAGTATTTGTCTGGCTCCCATAATCCATAAACCAACATTGTCCTCAAGGTAAACCAAAGGCACTTTAGATCATTGTTCCATTAATCTTTGAATGTTAGTATATCTTCTAGACTTGGTATGTGCCTTGAGGACTGGATTGCATTGTGTTACGGTACCCTCAGCATGAAGTTCACAAACCACCATTTAGTGAATGCTCCCCGTTCGCAATAACCCAGGCTGCATGTATATCCAATACAATCATACGAACCGCAAGCAAGGGAATGCTGTAAAACTCACGAACGGGGTCCGTACGGGCACTTCACTTCACAAGCTCCAAACTCACGAAGTGCCAATAGCAGCCGAACGCAAGTATCTCCCAAGCGGCTAATAATTCCATCCATCAGTCTCTAGTCGTCGGTAATAAATCCCCCCAATAACGAGACCAAGCTCGTATTTATGCAGGTCTCCCACTTGGTGGACACTCCCCAGGGGACCAAATGGGAGACTGTGACAACAGATAGACACATGGCAGTTCAGGACCCACAGACACAAAATATTCCCAGCATGCAATAGTAATTCCTCCCCTCTGCCCTGGAGATAATTGAGAAGTAATTCAATTATCTCCAGGACAGAGGCAAATCGCCATTTTACATTCAACACATAAAAACAAATAAAAATATATAACTTTACATTTGTCGAATGCTACCCATTCGTATCACATATCCCCAGATAGCCTGGATCTGAGTGCATATATATATATATATATATATATATATATATTAATTAGAGTAGCCCTCAAAATATTAGTGTGGCGAAACCGGCCTCGCCACGTGTCCTTGGAGGGGGCTGCGTGTATTGTATGGATTGATTGGTTGTTTTGTAACACCCTGTGGGCTGTACTATGTTTGTGGATTGGGAATAAAAGAGACTGTATGTGACAGTACAGGAAGTTCCTGTTTTAACCCTCAAAGTGAAGTATCGTCTCATTATTGGGGGAAGGATTTATTGTATGCTGTTCCAGTTTGACTGCTAGGAGAGTAAACCTATTCGTATGGTTCCTATTCAACTGTCTACAGCATTCATATGCTTTAGAGAAGGTATACGCTTCTCTGGTTCGGTGATTGTGGTGTCGGCTGCAGTGCTTGGAGTCCTCAGGAAGCGCTAGGAGCATCTTTCAACGGAGGTACCCAGTTGGGGTGCCAGGCGATCCGTTACATTGGTGGCAAGCGGTGGGATGGCGTCCTAGTGCGAGGTAAAGCAGCTCAGAGACACAGTTCATGGATTTACAAATTGAAGGCGACGCTAGTGTTCATACAGCGTCCCTGTCTACATAAAGATTTGGGAAAATGGGGTTCGTGGACCCCTGGGCAACACACACACCTGAGGAAGAGAGTGAATTAGACTGGAGAGATATCGCTCGGAAAGAATTATGGTACGATGCCCTGGAGGAAGTCCAGTATCAATGGCAGCAGCACCTTCCTGGTGTCGCATATCAGTTGGAGGAACAAATGGCCTGGTGGATGCCGCTTCTGGGAGACCAACCCGGAGGGCAGCAGGTCAGACAACTTGAGTACCTCGTGGAATGGGAACTGAGCCTTGACGCCTCATACCGGGCACTGTGGTGGTGCACTGTCCAGCCAGAGACGTGGAGGGCAGAGGGCATCCAGCCGGAGGGGGAGAACTACACTAGCCCTGGCCTGTTGAGGAAGGCCTTAACAGAAGATGTCGACTTTGGCAGTCCAGCAAAGTCACGGTACTGGGCTATCTTTCAATACCGAAGTGAGATGTTACAGGGCCCGAGATCTATTGGACTGGGAGAAGACATCCGCCGTTTTGCTGCCATGGAACGAGAGCTAGAGATGGACTATGTGGAACTACTGAACTCATGTCAGCCGCAGAGCATAGACGCAGAACAGGAAAACTGGGTGGCGGACCCAGACCTGCCAACCTACAGCTGGGAAAACGCAGCCGAGGTCCCCACTGCTTCACTACCAGTTGCAGAAGTAGGGGACCTCATAGACTGGTCCTGGGAAGACCTACCGATGGCAGGTAGAGATGGGACGGCTGTCTCTCTACCGGCCCTACAGGGATGCTGGGCAGTTGGCCAAGATCCCCAGCGGCAGTATGTATCCCAGGGAGCTGAAGGTGTCGTCCTTCCTCCCCAGCGGCAGTGTGTACCCCAGGGAGCAGAAGGTGCTGTCCTTCCTCCCCAGCGGCAGTGAGTACCCCAGGGAGCTGAAGGTGCCATCCTTCCTCCCCAGTCGCAGTGTGTACCCCAGAGAGCAGAAGGTGCCGTCCTTCCTCCCCAGCAGCAGTGTGTACCCCAGGAAGCAGAGACCGTCTGTCTCGCAACCCAGCTGCAGGACAAAATATTGAAAGGTGAGACAGTTGGTCCCCCTCTCCACCAGCAAGGAGAGTGTCAGGGAGAGGAGCAGATTACCCCCTCTTCCCAGCGGCAGTCTACAGTTCAGAGAGAGGAGCTTGTTACACCCTCTCTCCAGCTGCAACCTAACCCACCAAGGGGAGATGTTAAGCCCCACAACTATGCAGATGGGACCGTAGTCTGCAGTTGCAGCACCAGGGGTAGGGACAGTC